CGAAGCCTGCCTAACCTCAGAGGACAGGCTGTGTGTGCTGCAGGAGGGGAAACAAGCCCCTTGGAGGATCCCAGAAGATTGGGAGCGAATGAATCCTAGACATTGGATGTTGAGTTATTCACACTTCTGAAGTTTGTTTTCGCTTTGATTTCATTGTGATTGTGCCTGGCTACTTCCCCTTTGGTGAAAGAAAGTTTTATTATTATTATTTTTTTATTTTACAGGAGTCCACAGTTGACTCTGAATTTTAAAAGGCTTGGATTTGAGTAGCTATTTCAAAGAGACCGAACTTTTAACGTGTTTGAATTGGGAAAGACTGCGATTTTTAAGGTTTTTTGTTTTTAATGTGAGAACTGGGGGATGAATGAGAAAGGACAAGTTACTTAATCATGATTTTTAAAAAATATTTACTTATTATGCTGGGCTGTGGTGGTGCAGACCTTTAATTCCAGCACTTTGAGTTCGAGATCAGCTTGGTCTACAGAGCTAGACAGGGCCACACAGAGAAACGCTGTCTTGAAAAAACAAAACAAAACGAAAAGATTTATTTATTATGTATACAGTGTTCTGTCTGCATGTTTGCCTGCACACCAGAAGAGGGCGCCAGATCTCATTATAGTTGGCTGCAAGACTCCAGGTGGTTGCTGGAAATTGAACTCAGGACCTCTGGAAGAGCAAGTAGTCAGTGCTCTTAACCTCTGAGCCATCTCTCCAGCCCGATTTCTTTTCTTTTTCTTTTTCTTTCGTGTTTTTTTTTTTTTTTTTTTTGAGTCAAGGTTTCTCTGCATTGCCCTGGCTGTCCTGGAACATTCTATGTAGACCAGGTTGGCCTCAAACTCAGAGATCTGCCTGCCTTTATCTCCCAAACACTGGATTAAAGGTATATGACACCACTGCCTGGCAGGTGATGAATTTGTGAGTCAAGTTGACAAGGGGCCAATTGTGTGAGACAGTGTTATGTCAACTTGACACAAGCTAGAGTCACCTGAGAGGAGGAAACATCAATTAAGAAAATGCCTCCATAAAAATCGGGGTGGTCCTGTAAGGCATTTTCTTAGTTAGCGATGGGAAGGGGCAGCCCATTATGGGTGAGGCTATTCTTGGGCTATTGGTCCTGGGTTCTAAAAGAAAGCAGGGTGAACAAGTCATGGGGAGCAAGCCAGTAAGCAGCACCCCTCCATGGCTTCTGCATCAGCTCCTGCCTCCAGGTTCCTGCCCTGACTTCCTCTGGTGAAGGACTACAATGTGGAAGTATGAACCAAATAAACCCTTTCTTCCTCAGCTTGCTTTTTTTGTCATGGTGTTTCATCTCAGCAATAGAAACTGCAACTAAGAGTGTGGAGTTGTGATCAGCTAATTTATTTGATCGAGATTGCTTACAGTCTGCTCATACTGCTGTGTGTACATGATTTTAAAAAATGTACCTAATAAATGTATCACCCTTTTCAGTAAACCTCTGTACCATTAAAATGTACTAATTGGAAAGTACCATCTCAGTCATTAATCAGAGACTTTAAAAATTTGACTTACAAGATTGTGTGTGTGTGTGTGTGAGAGAGAGAGAGAGAGAGAGAGAGAAGGTGTGTGTGTGTGTGTGTGTGATGCTGTGTATGAAACCGAAGGCTTTTGCATGACAGCAGTGCTCTCCCTCTGAGATATTTATCCAGCCTGCATTATACCTGAGTTCTTTGTCTTATTGGCTGGGCCAGGAGGCTGTGCTCTTTTAGCCTAACTGGTGCATAATCTGGAATTCAAATCTCCTTGTAGCTCCATCCTTCACTGCATTCTGCCTGGCTTTCTGGGCAGGAGGCATGTGACCTAGATTCATAAAGACGACTACTGAAGTCTCTATGGACTACTGAAGACTCTGGGGCTCCCAGAATGACAGATAATCAGCCAGTCCTTCTCCAGGTGTTTGAAGAACTGTGCAAGGAGCTGTCACCTGAGTTGCAATACCTTCTTTGATGGCATCTATAGATGCTTGCCACAAAATAGTTATTACAATTGCCACACGCAAGAGTCTCCAGGCTCTGAAATCCCAACTGTGGTGAAGCTGTCAATCAAAGCTGGTACGTGGCATCTTGAAGAACCTCCCAGTGAATGAGTTTGGCTAGAAGTGGATGGAGATTCCGGAGGTGTGAGTAAATGCTGAGTGCTTATTCATGCAGTTTCCCGAAGAAGCCTGTGAGTTGTTTGTTGATGAACTTCCTGTGCTCCACTTAGGAATCTGAGTCATTAGTGAGCCCCCCCACCCCTCCCCATGAAGTACACATCCACTCAGTTCTGCCTGGGAACCACTCTTCAGTCCTTGTGCTTTGGTGTAGGGATCTCTTGCTTTCCCTTGAGCTATTAGATCTGTTATCTCAACTGTCTCCTTCCTCCACCTTGTGACGGTTAATATTGATTGTGCACTTGCCAACATCTAGAACCGCCTAGGAGATAAACCTCTGGGCATGTTTGTAAGGGAGATTTTAGACTGAGTTAATTATGGTGTCCTTCCCCATGCATGAGGGACAGTGAGTGATGCCATCCAGTGGGCTGGAGTCTTGCACTGAATATAAAAGGAAAAGCAAGCTAAGCCCTAGCATCTACCTATTGCTTCCCAAGTTATACGCAATGTGACCGGCTGCCTCATGCTTCTGCTGCCATGATATAGGCCATGATGACTGTGATGGCTGTGAGTCTTGACATCCGTGGGAAGAGGGAACCTTTGTTGAAGAACCGTCTTCATCGGAGGGGCCCATGAGCATGTGCTATAGCTTTTTCTTGATTTCCAGTGAATGCAGGAGGGTCCAGCCCACTGTGCAGAGTGTCATTCCTAGGGAGGTGCACCCGGACTGGGTATGAAAGCTAACCATGAGCCTGCGAGCAAGCAAGCCAGGGTTCCTCCGTGCTTCCAGATCTTGCTTGGAGTACCTGCCTGAGCTTCCTTCAATGATGGACTGTAACATGTAAGCCAAGTAACTCCTTTCCTTCCCGAGTTGGTTGAATGTGTGGTTTGTCAAAATGACAAGAGGACAAACATGGACAAATGCCTTCCCTCCATGATGGACTATCTCTCCAGCCCCCACCCACACCCCCACAGCCCCGTGGGCTGCATCTTTTTGACCCCTGGCAGTCCTTTAGGCCCACCTCACATGTCCTCTTCCTGGCAGCCTTTACTCCACTTTTCCAGTATTTTAGCATTTCCTGAACAACCTTCTCTTGTGGCATTTGGTGTGTGTTACTGGAATGACTCATTTACTCTGTTTTCTAGGGGCAGTAGACTCCCAGAGGGCACACTTAATGCTCTCCTCTTTTTAAACATTATTTAATCTATTTATTTGAAACAGATCCTCACTGTGTAGCCCTAGCAGGTCTGGAACTGGCTATATAAACTGGGCTGGCCTCAAACTCACAGCTATATACATGCCCCTGCCTCCTGAATGCTGGGACTAAAGGTGTGCACCATCACACCCAAATGAAGCCGCTGGCAGCATTAGACAGCATTGATTTATGTAGTTTCATTGGGACAGTGTTGAGGTTCTTTTGACCTTTAAGAGTCTTAAAAATTTAATTTGAGTCAGTTGAAGATACAACATTTTGAAAATAGGATAGAAATCTGCCTACAGCATGTGTGGTGTTGGGCTCTCATTGTAACTCTGCTTTCGGCAAGTGAAATTAGCTTCTACCAGGGCTATCCCATCTTTAAACAAAGGTGCAAAGCTCATAATGCTGACTTTTACTTTGGGTGAATATTTGTGTTAATATATGTTAATGAGATACATTTTCCACTGTTTATTTCTCGATAGGAAGGCTCTGTTCTCATTAAGTCTCTTTGCCAGAGAACATGAACTTTTTTTTTTTTGTTTGAGCTTCCTTCTCTGCTCTGTTCTTCCTGCCTTGGAGAGGTGGCAGCCAGAGGCTGGTGATGAAGGAGAGTTCATGAGGGAGGCAAACAGCACACCAGGCTTCTCCTTACAACGCCAGACCCAGGGCTCTGTCCTTCTGACTTTTCTCTGCAAAGTGTAGAAGCACACAGCATAGCAGGCGACAGTGCAATTAAAGTAAGAGAAAATATCTGTAGGAGTGTGACAGGGTGCTGTCTCAAGTATGCAAGGGTACAACAGATCCTTACACGCGGAGGACAGGACGAAAGCCACAGGATGAAGAATCCTGGGAAAGGGAGTGTGTACCTCATACCTCCCAGAGACGGGAGAGATGTTAAATATCACACACACACACACACACACACACACACACACACACACACACACACACACACACACACACATTTGCTATCCCAAATGGCAATTTGTGCAATATTTTTGGCGGTGAACTTATTTATCTACTGAAACCAAATAAAAACATCCTTGCCCTTTGCTCCAGTTTTGGGAACTTCTGCTGCAGAAACACAGAGAGGTTTTTAAGGATGTTGATTCCAGCTATGCTTTTAAGGACACTGGAAATAAACATCTTAATAGGACTTGGGGAATGTACTGTTTACTTATTATGTCGAATGTGGTAAAGGCAATCTAAGAGCTAGATGTGTGATAGAGTGAAAGGATATTCCCCTATTATTATTATTATTTTGATTTTGATTTTTCAAGACAGGGTTTCTGTGTATAGCTTTGTATACCAGGCTGGCCTCGAACTCACAGAGATCCTCCTGCCTCTGCTTCCCAAGAGCTGAGACTAAAGGCGTACACCACCACCTCAATTATTTAAGAGGAAAGGAAAGTACGAAGTGATGGGTTTAAGACTATGATTTTGAGAACAAAAAGAATAAACAAAGTCTGACATTTCAGTGTAGGTTTGTTGTCAGCTGGTTTTTCTTAGGGGGATGGAATTTTGGGGACAGGGTGGAATTATTAGTTTTCCTTTTTGTTGTTTAGTTTTATAATGCAGAATTGAGCGTGCATTCTGCATAATGAAGTTCAATAGACAAAAACAATCAAGAAAAAAGTCAGCATTTTATTGTTGATGGAACACTACCTAGTCACTCGGGAAGAGGGAACTCCGATTGGACAATTGCTTTGGTCAGATTGGTCTGTGGACAAGTCTGTGAGCGCGTTGTCTTGATTGCTAATTGATGTAAGAGGGCCCAGCCCAGCATGGGCGGTACCATCCCTAACCAGGCGGATTTGGGCTCCATTAGAAAGCGGTCAGAAAGTGAGCAGGGGCCCTCCACAGTCTCTGCTTTAGTTCCCACTGAAGCTCCAGCCCCTGACTTCCTCTCTTGCCCTAAAGTTGCCTTTGGTTAGTGTTTTATCACAACCACAGAATTAGCTGGATCAAAGCAACAGCTGTTCTTTTGGCTAACATTTTATTTACATACATCTTTCTGCCATCATTGCTGTTTACTTTATATCACATTTACACGGTCAGGAATTCCACTCTCCGAGATGGTATCTTGTGTTTGTGGAAGTCTTATCAGTGCTAATTAAAATTCTCAGTGAGTGTGCACAGGCTTGTGATTTCCACGCGGAACCGGATGCCACACAAAGAACTCCGTTTGGATGTTGCTAGTGCAGTCATGTGCCTGTAGGGATAGAACTGATGCTTTTGGGGGTTCTCTACTCGATGCCCAATATTGGGGTATCCACATTCTCCTTCTTTTTCATTCCAGTTTTGTAAACTATCCGTTTCACCGATTCTTCACCTTGTTTGTTTTTCGCCATGGTTTCCTGTGCCCCATGCTGACCTAAAACTTAACACATAAGGGATAATAATCTTGAAGTTTTGATGCTGGAGCCTTTACTCCACGAATGTCGAGATTGCACGCACGCATCACGAGTTTATGTGCTACTAGGGGGTGGAGCTTGGGGTTTTGTCTATGCTAGATAAGCACCCCACTAAGTGAGCTATATCTTTAACAACCCCTCCTTTTTAATCCTTTCCCTACAATTTAAACTTCAAAATAATGGTTTTTTATTCCCCTAAACTATTATACTGATAAATCAGAAACAGTTAAGTAAATCGCAAACAAAACAGATTCTTCTGTAGCTAAAATAACAAAAGCATCCATGTCTCACCAAAGCGATATCAGTCTCTCCATCCTTTGGTAACTTTGTTCTAAGCCATTCATTGCAGGTATTTCCCACAGAGAAACAGAGGAAGAGGAAGATTTGTAGAAGTCAGGCCGATTAGGTCTTGCTGACTTACCTCTCCATTTTCTCTTCTGGAAAATGGGCGTGCCCAGAGGCTCTTTGTAAGCATCAAGTTGAAAGCTCGGAGCTCAGTTCACGGCAGGGACTTTCTATTGCTAGATCTTTAAACATTTCTTGTATATTTGTTATTGTTTCTCATTACACACAGTCTGTGCATCATGCAAGATGAGCTCTTTTCTGACCCTGGTTTACTGGCATCAAAGGATCAGGCTGCTCCCAGATGAAGGCAGTCCTGTTGGGGTGTTGGCCACACTGAATTCCCTAATATTGTTCTAAAGCCTGAGGGGGACCAATCCCCACAATTCACCAGAGCCCAAATACATGTAACTATGGTGCCGAAGAGGAGTACACATCAAAGAGTGTGTGCTTTTTTTGTTTGTTTGTTTGTTTGTTTGTTTGTTTGTTTGAGACAGGATTTCTCTGTATTGTTTTGAAGGCTGTCCTGGAACTCGTTCTGTAGACCAGGCTGGCCTCGAACTCAGGGAGATCCACCTGCCTCTGCCTCCCAAGTGCTGGGATTAAAGGCATGTACCACCAACACTTGGTACCTTATTTGTTTTGAGATAGGATCTCACCACATAACCTTGATTGGTCTGGAACTCGCTATGTTAACCAGGTCAGCTTTGAATTCGCGGACATCCACCTGTCACTGCCTCCTGAGCACTGGGATTAATGGCATACATCACTATGCCCAGATGTAATTCCAATTCATACCTCTCTATGTAAATTACATGCCTTGGCATAGGGCATGCCTCAGGGGGAGACGTTTAGAACTTATTCTTCTGGGTTTCTCTGACCGTCCTGGATCTGTGGCTTGCTGCCTATCATTAAATTAAAAGAAAAAAAAAGTTCAGCTGTTATTTCTTGAAATATTGGTGTCCTTTTCTCCTGTCATTATGTCTATGTGAGACTGTTGTGGCTATGCCACACTTTAAAAATTTCTTGCCCATTTTCCCCATCCTTAAAAAATTCTATAGACATCTTCAAACTCAACTTTTTGTTTTGTTGTAATTTGCAGCATTCAGTTTTCTGATGAGTCCATTGAGTATCTGTAATCACAGTTGCAGTGTTCAATATTGCTCTGATTAAATGGAATGAAGAAACAAGCCTGAAGGACAATGTCTGCCATAGGACGATATATAGAGATTTCGAGGGGAAACTGATTCATTTAGTTTTGGCTTTGTCATTAGTTTCTGTTTTCCTAATAAAGATTAAAATCCAAAACTTTTAAAATATTTTACTAGGTATGTTAGTCTATCCTTATAATACTATCACATGGAATACTGAGGCAGGTGAATTGTCCTGAAGGACAATTGTCCTGAGTTTGAGGCTAGACTGGGCTAGAGTGAGACCTTATCTCAGAAGCAAATAACAAGTCTTTTGGCCACCAAGTTGGCTTAGTGGGTAAAGGGGCTTGCTGCCAAGCTTGACGACCTGAGTTTGATCCCCAGGATGCACATGGTAGAGGGGGAAAGTTGTCCTCTGACCTCTATAGGTATGCTGTGGTGTTATATGTGCACATATATACACAAGTACAAGATAAATAAATAAATGTCATTAATTTTTAGTGTTATCAGCTCTGAGCCACTGATAGAGGTAAAGGACTATGGGTACCACCTGTGAGCTAGCTCTAATTAAAAAAAACCTTTTGTGTCAGGTGTAGTGGCACGTGCCTTTAATCTCAGCCCTTGAGAACCTGAGGCAGAGAGATCTCTGTGAGTTCAAAACCAGCTTGGTCTACATAGTGAGTTCCAGGACAGCCAGAACCACTTAGTGAGACCTTGTTTCAAAACAAGCAACAAACAAATAAAATCTTTCTACTGTTTGCACCTAGGTTGGAATTTGGGCAGGTCCATTTCTGGTCAAGAGGAAATGACCAGCCAGCCTTCCCAATGAATCCCACTAAATTTGAAATTGGAGCCGCCACCACCTGCCCCCAAGGTCTAGTGTCTCTCTTTGAAAGTTTGTTGCTTCCTGTTTTCAATGTGTTGCTGTTTGTTTGTTAAGGGGATGGCATTATTAGAATTCTTCCTAGCTCTCTTCAGGACCATCAGCCATTGCCTCTCCAGGGTTTCTTGGCATTTCTCGACAAACACAGAAAAGCTGTGACTTCTAGGTACTGTGTGTGTGTGTGTGTATGAGTGTGTGTGTGTGTGGTGATCACCAGAAGTTCCTCAGAGTCTTCTGTTGATTGCGGTTAGTGTAGCTCAGTTTCTAATCAGCATTGATTAAACCTCGTGAAGCGATGGATTTGTGTGTGTGGATGTGTGGGTTTGTGTGTGGGGGGTCAGCTGGTATTAAATTGAGAGTGAAAAGTGAGAAAGAAGGCTTAGACTGATGGACGGTGATTTGAAAATGTTGACTTTCCCTTTGTTTCATGACGAAGAAGGTTGGAAGGAGGCGAGCTGCCTGTTGCTTACCCTGGGATGAAAAGCTGGCTTTTGCAGAGTCCAGAAGGTATGAGGGCATGTTGCTGTGGGCATTCCAAACTCCTCATGGTCAGGGAGCTGCTTCCCAGGAAAACCCGAGCAAGTGTTTCGTCAAAAGTTCTTTATTAGGCCGGGTGGTGGCGGCGAATACCTTTAATCCCAGCACCTGGGAGGCAGAGGCAGGCAGATCTCTGTGAGTTCAAGGCCGGGTTAGACTGACAGCCTCCAAAACAATACAGAGAAACCCTGTTTCTTAAAAACAAAAAACAAAACAAAACAAAACAAAAAGCTCCTTATTAGAGGTAGGTGGATCTCTGTGAGTTCAGGCCAGCCTGATCTACAAAGTAAGTTCCAGGAAAGGAAGGGCTACACAGAGAAACCCTGTCTTCAAAAACCAAAACCCAACTCAAACCAACCAACCAACCAAACAAACAAACAAACAAACAAAAATTTACTTAAAAGATGTTTCCCTGCTTGTATGTTGAGGGAAGGGAAGGGGGCAGGATTTGTACCGAGTTATTTCTCCAGCCTTCTTCCCACATTCACTCTGGATCAGGGGAAGGTCTTTAGTTTTGGAACCATTTCTTATGTGTCCTTTCTCTCTAGAGCAATAGCGACCCAGGGTCACCATCCCATCCCCCTGGCCTTTGGCCAGTGTGAACTTTGCAAAGTCGGCTTTTGACCTTCATTGGGGGAGTGTCTGGGTCTTTGGCAGTAAAAGGTATGACAATTGTTGTGACCCATAGCCACATGCCACCCCTACACACACACACACACACACACACACACACACACACACACACACACACACAAAGTTCTTCATTAGCATATATTCACTGTGTAACAAAGAGCTTCATTTTGACATTTTCATACATGTGCATAATGTCCTTACATTACCCACCTCCCTCCAGCCCCTCTTGTCCCACTCCCCACCCCCTCGTCCCTTCCCTACTGGTTCTCCTTCCACTTTCAGGTAACTCAGTTCAACTAGGGTTATTTACAGGATTGTGGGAGATGTGCTAGCTACATGAGTATAGGCCACTTACCAGCAGCTATAACACTGAAGAAAATCGCCCATCAATTTTTTTTCTACCTGTACTTGGATTTCTTTATACTCTTTTAAAAAATGTATTTGTTTTTATTTTATGTGCATTGGTGTTTTGCCTGCATGTATGCCTGTGTGAGGGTGCCCAATCCCCTAGAACTAGAGTTACAGATAGTTAACTGTGAGCTGCCTGGCGGGTGCTGGAGATTGAACCCGGATCCTTTAGAAGAGCAGCCAATGCTCTTCACTGCTAAGCTATCCCTCCAGGCCACGTGGTTATGGTTTTAAAAATCTGGGTTGTAATGGGTTGTTTATCCTGGCTTTGATCTCACATTGTCTTAAACACTGTGGCTTATAAGTGTTCTTGGTAGCTAATAGGCACTTTGTCTAGACTTATTTAAAGTTATTTTATGTTTTTGCTGGGCACATGAATATAATTCTATTACTTAAGGCTGAGCATCAGTTTGGGGCTAACCTGGGCTATACAGTGAGCTTCTGTCTCAAAGCAAAACACAAAATAAAACAACAAGCCAAAGTCACTTTAGCTAGTCTTATTCTTTTAACAATGTGCGAGGGCAATGTCTCAGTGTAGCATGAAAACTTCTGTTTCGATTTTCATCGGGATTAATTGTGGGGAGAATTGATCCAGAAAAAAAATGTTTACTTGGGATTTTTTTCTCTGTTTATAGTTAGGATTGTCCTGCAGTTTTCTTTGTATTTGCTTATTGCCTCACCTAGCCCCCTACCCAAGGGAATACACAGTCTGTCTTCACAGCTTGTCTAAACCTGCTCTCTTTTCCCCAAGAAATCATTCTAGGGTCTCGTTTCCCCTTACAAACAACACTGAACATTTTAAAATCAATTGCAAATGCCTTTTAGGTCTCCTGAAGTTCTATCTAACTTTTCTTACTAGTGAGGTCATTTCTATTTGACAAACAAATCTCGAGCCAATGCCGGTCACTTGACTATATGTTAAAGCCTCTTGGGTTGGAGTTGCTTTAGTTATAGGGCCCTTTGTTTATTGAGGGAAGTGAAGCGTTTGATATCAAACATCTCTCCTGCGTTACGTGGGCTTTTTGAGAGGGTGTTTGGCTTTCAGGCTTTGTATCCACTGCCTGGATAGCACCATCTCCGAATAGCTGCACTAAGGAAAAGTGAGGGTCGTTCTGCAGGGTGGTAGAACTTTCTTTGTGTTCCCTAGAAGCAACTATGGCCTCTCTCAGTGAACAGAGCATCTCTATGTTTCTGCAACAGCTCGGGATGTTCTTGCTAAGAAAAATACATGCCGCAGTCCCACTCCAGAACATTAACAGTCATTTCCTAGTGACCAAGGAAGGGACTTTAAAAATGCTGCCTCCTCCTTTTAACCCAAGGCTTTGCTCTTCTTTCTGGTGATAGGGTGTGATGAGAAGAGTATTTACTGGCCACAGTGAGGGCAGCCGTGCACACCAGTACTCCCTGACCTCCGAGACAGTGATGATCACGCTTCTCTCTAGTTAATGTCACCACTGTTCTTCATTCTGATTTCACATTTATTTTCACCCTGTGGGACACCTTGATAGACAGGCCTGCTGGTTGGAATGAACTAAATACATCAAGAAAAAAAATGGCACAGAGCTGAGAACTGGCCAGAGATGATGGTATTTCCATGAGTTGTAGAGTTAAATTTATCTGATATAAGCCAGGCACACCTTTCCCCCCCTCCCCTCCTCCTCCCCTCCTTTACTTCCCACGAATGTCTCCAGGTGATTGCAGGGTACAGCATGGAGCTTGGAAAGGAACTGGAGATCCGGGTTGTAGTTCTGGCTTGCCCATTCATATTCTTTGAGCCTCAACACTAAGTTGCAAACCAGGACAGAAGCCTCTGGGAACTAAACAAACAAGGGTAAAGGAGTCAGAGCTACACAGACAGCAAGATCTTGCCTTTGTTCATGGTTAACAGATGTCACACAGATTTCTAGCTTTGGGAGTGAAGCTGCAAAATGGAGATTTTTGTTTTAAAGGTAACCCCGCTTATGAAATATCTTCCAAATGACTTTCATGGTCATGTTTCTGGCTCCTGTCCCCTCTTGGAAGGAAAGTAGTGCTGCATATGTGGAGGTGACATCGCTGGATGACCACCAAATCATCAGCTCAGTGCCATTAGGCCGCTGGCTTCTCTTTCCTATTCTGTTGCCACTGGCGATACCTGTGTGCCTGACCAAAGGTGACAAGTGTCCAGACAGTGTCAGATCATTTCAGCCCTGTGCCGGCTGGTTTTTATGTCAACTTGACAGGAGCTAGAGCCATCTGAGAGGAGGGGACCTCAGTTGAGAAAATCCCCCTACCAGATTGACATGTGGGCAAGCCTGTGGTTCATCTTTATTGGTGTTTGATGTAGGAGGGCGAAGATAAGGAGTGGGGCTGCTCCTGGCCTATTGGCCTGAGTGTTAGAAGAGGGCAGGCTGAGCAGGTCATGAGGAGCAAGCCAGTATGCATCCCCAGCCCCCACACAGCCTCTGCATCAGTCCCTGCTTCCAGGTTTCCACCCCGTTTGAGATCCCGCCCTGACTTTGCTCAGCGATGGAGTATGACCTGTGAATAATAAGTAAAAATCAACCCTTTTCTTCCCAAGTTGTTTATGGTCATGGAGTTTTACCAAAGCAGCAGCAGACACTTAACCTTGTATTTTCTAATGACCAGATATGCCACCTATCATTATTTGTTGGGTATTAATGTCTAAGTGGGCATTGTACTCACCATTAACTGACATAAACGTGATTCTTAGGAGAGTCGTCCTTGTCTTACATCAGCAGAGGTTCAGTGTGGGAGACCAGAATAGAACCGAGGTACCTGACTGGAGATGCATTGCTTTAGCAAGAGCTGGTGCTACTGTGGCTTCCAGAAAATGATTTTGTGGCCTTCACATTTGGTATGCTACCTGATCTCTTCAAGCCTGTTTTCTCATTTCTCATGATAATGGTTATCTTTAGGGGCCATGTTCTTCATCCTGCCCTTTTTTTTTTTTTTTTTGCTAATCCCTTCCTGCCATCATCACCTGAATAGGATGGGCCTTTATCATGGGCTTGTTTGGATTAAGAAACAACCTTGGGCATTAGTGAAGATCCACCTTGAATGTGGGTGGGTGTTGTGGAATACTAGTTTAAGATGCGTTACGTTCGTTTATGCTGCGGAATATTTCTTTAATGATGCAAAGATGTGTTGCATTGTTTTATGTTGCATTTGTTTTAACTCTGTGAAGCTGTGTTGCGTTGCATGCCTAAAACACGTGATTGATCTAGTGAAGAGCTGAACGTCCAATAGCTAGGCAGGAGAAAGGATAGGAGGGGCTGACAGGCAGAGAGAGTAAACAGAAGGAGAAATCTGGGAGGAGATGATCAAGGAGCAAGAAAAGGAGAAGAGAAGGACTCTAGGTGCTAGCCACCCAGTTACACAGCAAGCCACAGAGTAAGAAGTAAAGAAAGGTATACAGAAATAAAGATAAAAGCCCAGAGGCAAAAGGTGGATGGGATAATTTAAGTTAAGAAAAGTTGGCTAGAAATAAGCCAAGTTAAGGCCAGACACTCATAAAAAAGAATAAGCCTCCTTATGACTATTGGGGAGCTGTGTCGTAGGCTTCCCAAAAAGCAAAATAGTAAAAAATTACCAACTACAGGCAGGGCCATCTATGCTCTCCCTGCTTTGCTCCCGGCTCTGCCCAGATGTAAGCCAACAACCACCCCCACAGATGACAGCTGCTCCTGTCACCATGCCTTTTCTGTAATGATGGCTGTACTCTCCCACTGGGAGCCTAAATAGGACTCCTTCACCCCTTGAGCTACATTTGGTCAAAACAAGGAGGAGACTGACATATGTCCCTGCTAGCTGGTCTGCTGTGTGCTAGAGACATGCCTGTGAGCAGTCCTTGCCTCTGCTCCATGGAACTGTAATTTAGTGGGCTACCTGGGACTTGGTGATGCAGGCAATGAGCATAGACACATGGGATGCTGTTGGAGGCCAATACCAAGGGGCCCTGAGCCTGAATGCTGGTTGGGAAAGAGCATTTCTGGGAGCTCCGGTCTGCAGCTTTTCCCATGTGACTTTCCATGTCCCAGTTCTCGTGCTGATGTAGGGTCAGCTTGTCCTCTTCT